ACCTGCCAAACTACTTTAAAAATTTTATTACGTGGTTATTTTTTGGTTTATTATTATTTACTTGTTGATTTTAATTAAACACACGCCACATTTTTAACCAGTCTCATCGTGGTCGAGTGGGTATCCCTAATTATTGCAGATTTTTGTAATATATATATATATATATATATATATATATATATATATATATATATATATAATATATATATATTAGAGAATAGAGAGAAGAGAGAGAGAGAGGAGAGAGGAGAAGAGAGAGAGAGAGAGAGAGAAGAGAGAGAGAGTAAACTTTCCCATACTGAATCGCCCTTATATTTCCTTTCTCTTTTTCTTTTTCTTTTTATATTTTATTTTAATAAATGAATAACTTTATATGCCCGATACACAAATACACAATTTTTTCAACCAAAATTATATACGACACTGATTTTGTAATTAAATGTTGCACAATGTGTGACGTTATATTAATTACTTAAATTACAAAATATGAAACATGACTATTAGTATCCTACGATACACAATAAATATCATATTAGACGATTCGATACGGGCGTCAATGATATATATCAGAGAGTGTATCATAAACATTTCGATACGTTAATATGTATACTAAGATACCACATGTATCGGTACGTATTCTAAAAAATATTGATACACATCGATTCGACTTTATTAATTTCAGCCCAAATTTTTTTTGATTCGGACTGAAATAGATCATGTTGGATCCAGGTCACCCAATTCGATTCACTAAAACCCGCTCAAATTTACCCATTTTGCATGGAGAAAGTGAAGAGAAAGATCTGTTGCCCATTTTGCATGATAATAATAACATAAGTGGAGATATAATTATTAAAATTGATCTTAGAAATTATATTAATGGTTGAGAGGAAATGATATAGATTCATAATTTTATGATTAATTTTGATTATCTAATACCATAATTTAAAGCCAATAATATCACAAAATTTGTTAATTAATCTTGGGGATGATACTAATTTTAAGAAAAATGTTATTATTTTATTATTAATTTTATTAAAAGACATATCGTACGATACAATACGCGATACATGATTCAAAAAATTAGGTTTTTGATACACGATACGATATACGATTTGTCAACCATAATATGAAGTACAATTTTTTTATGTATATTTTAGTTAAAACCATCATTATCTCAATCCTAGTCAACACAAATAAATACTATCTCTAACCTCCCTTAAGGTTTAAAGAAATAACAAGAAGTCCCTAGAGGTTTTTTTGGGGTAAGCAGAGTGTCTGGACCAGTTTATGCATACTTCAACTAATCTTTAAAATTCATTGAATACCTTATAAGTCCAAATGATCAAGTAAGTCACAATGTGTCAGGTAACCTCAGGGTCGTCTTAAGAACATTTGTGACCCTAGACAAAAGTTACTGTGGGGGCCTTCTAATAATATAAGCATATATTTAAAAAAAATTATTTCAAATTTATTTTTCTTGCCTTTTGAGATGCAAAATCACTAGGAGAGGTGGATGACGACCAACGGGCTAACGGGGTTAGGTTGGTGGGGGGTTTTGGAGAGCAGATGCTGGAGAAGCGATGGATGGTGAAATGGGTGATTTCCAATGCCAGGATTGACCAGAAAAAACTTGAGAAGTCACGGCCTAAAAGGTATCAGTGGCCGACGATTGGCAAAGTAAACGGATAGGTATGATAGGGGTTTTGGTCAGAAGGCAAAGGGGAGGAAGATGGTGGTGTTGGGGAAGGCCAATGATGCCAAGTATATGTTGAAAATGCCGAAAATGGCTGTCGCACGTGGTGGAGCTGGGTTGCAAGTTCGTAAAAAATGACTAAATCAAGGGCTATCAAGGTTGAAAAAACACTTAGAAAACGATAAAGTGATGGTTCCAATCGAATTTGGTGAAAAAAATCAACCGAAATCAACTCCAAACAATCGGCGATGGAAGAAGGGTAGAGATGATTTATGTGAATGTTAAATTTTCGGATTGAATTAGGGGTGAGTAATTTGAGACATGTAAATGACCATTTTAGCCTTTCATTGTCAAAAGAAATTTAATGCGTTAATTTAGGGGTGTAAATTAAAATATATAAAACTAGAGGTATAAACTTGCTATTTCGTCAAACTTTGGGTGGAAATATATGTAAAAAGTTAATAATAAATTTGGGTCTTTTTGGTTTTTTTTTTAGGCTCATTGGATTGGCCTAGATAAGAAATTATATTCTTTTTTTTGTTTTTGTAATATATTAAAAAAAAATTATAAAAAATTTGACACTTTTCGGCCTTATTTTTTGGAATGAAGGAGCAAACCTTTTTAAACGTCAAACCAACCTTTTAAGGTTTTCGATATTTATTTTCTTTAATTGTATTAGATAATTTATCATACCTTACNTTAAAAAAAAAAAAAAAAAGTGAAGAAAGGAACGTTTTGTAGTAGTAATTTGTATGGAAAATGTGGGCCGGTGAAATTAAGGGGTGTTTTTCTAAGCTTATAAGCTGGTTAAATTAGTTTATAAGCTCTAAAATTAAGTTTATTTATTTGTTTATAACTTTTTTGAGTTTATAAACCCCAAAAAATAAGTTGGGGAGGGGTATTTTTTTTTTTTTGGGGAGCTTATAAATACTATGCTTATAAGCTAGTTTGACCAAATATATTACCACATTATCTTTATTTAATTTTAAAATTCTATAGTATACCCTTGTTTAATGTAGTACCATTTTTAGTAATTTTATAATAAAATGTACTTATAAGCCACATTTTATTAAACACGTCAACTATTTATTAGTCACTTATAAGTACCTTAACCAAACACGTAATTGCTTAAAATTTCAAATGCTTAGCTTATAAGCACTTGTTAATTTTCATAAGCTCAGATAAACACCCCCTAAGAGGAATTGTGTTAAGAGTGATACTACACATACATCATTTTTATACAACATTTCGCATGCAACATTATATGGCAAGATATGATTGGCTAATTTAAAGTTAAAATTAAACTTTCATCAAATCATATCTTGCCATATAATGTTGTATGAGAAATATTGTATAGGAATGATGTATGTGTAGTATTTTTCTTATATTAAATAATAATAGAGTAAACGACTTTTTCCCATCCGAGGTTTGTCTTAATGGCACTTTCCATATAAAAATTTTCAAAGTCAAAGTTAATATTTTATTATTATCCAAAACTGATTCTAATGGCAAAAATTTTTTCTGTTATTACCATTTAAACCTTCAGTCTCATTTTTACAAATTTCCTCTCATTCTGACACTTAATTTCTCTTCGATTGTCAGTCATCACAAAGTTAAGGTTTTTTATTCTTAGTTGATTTTCAACTAATTTCGACGATGAATATTCAATCGATCACCACTATTTGGTCTATTAACCTCTACTCTACATAAACTCTCTTATCCTAGCTCCTACAACTCGTCAAACCCTAATTGAAAAAGTGAAATGTATTTTAAATATTAACGGAATACAAATGTTGAGTGGGAAAGTGATATTTTGCAATATTTTGGGTAGAAAGTGTCAATAAGGCAAACCTTGGCGGAAAAAAGTCCTTTACTCTATTGAATAATGGTGGGCTTGGTGCTAGGGCTCGATCAGATGTTCGTCCCGTAGGAGACATGACCTCCATTCTCTCAACACGGCTGCTGTTGCCTTCCACCTCAACACCCCTCTCTTTTCACTATTTTACATCTTTGCCACTCCAACCACAACTCTTCAATTTTTCAGTCTTAGGAATTCATCGTATAATTTAATTGAATAAATAAATTGATTTAATAGGAAGTATTTACAGGTGTTGATTTAAAGGATGATTGAATTTGAGGAGAAAATCATATAATATGAATCATGTTACAAGCAGAAGCGTGTGACATGAACTAGTGAAAGATGGAAATGAGAATTTGAGATGATATGATTATGATGTGAAAGAGTCGACCATCTGATTTAATCACATCGCCGAATTATAAGAAGTCACCCATAAAATCAATTTCGATTTGAATCCAGCAGGCACAGGATTTCAGTCTTCAGAGTCAAAGATAAAAAAGTTTGACTTTTGGGTTATGCTTTATACATTTCCTTATAAGGGACCAAACACATGAAGCATGGGATAAAATCAGAGTCACGGTCACGGACATGGGACATGAATCACAGTACAAAGAAAAAGAATTTAATTGTAAAAAAATTTGAGAGGATGGTGCATTAAAACTCTTAGTAGTATTATTTAAAAAGTTATCTATTTTGATTATTAATAAAGATAATTTTTAAAGATTTATTTGATTATTAATTTTAAAATCTTAAAAAATTAATTAAATTATGTGTAAATTAATCCCAATATTTCTGGTAAAAAAAAAGAACGGTAAACGATAAATAAGAACAATAATAAAGTATGGGGTATGAATGACAATACAAAGAAAAAGAATTTAAGTATAAAAAATAAGAGGGTGATCCATTAAACTTTTGGTGTATTATTTAAGAAGTTATATATTTTGATTATTAATACAGACAATTGTTAAAGGTTTATTCGGTTATTAATTTTAAAATTTTAAAAAATTAATTAAATTACATGTAAACTAACCCCGATAAAAAAAAAAAAAAAAAAAAAAGAGAACGGTAAACGGTAAGAGCAATAATAAAGGACTGAAATTGAAGCCATCAGAATCATGAAGCCCTCTCCAGCAAGACGCCAAGACCCCACCCCAACCTTTAGCCAAACAATAAAACAAAAACCCTCTCTCTAATAGTCTAATCTTGTGTACATGTCTGATGTCTCTTTGACTTAGACTCTCTCACATGCTCACACGCAAATGCTAATGCTCTTCTACTTTCAACAATTATATCAAAACACACTTCACCTCTCTTCTCTCTTTCAATCTTTTCCTTCTCTTTGTTGCTTCCTTCACTCTTTTTTTTCTTTTTTTTTACCATCACACCAAAATCAATCCTCTCCACACTCTGCAACTTAAGAGTCAAGACATTACACTTTCATCTCAGGCCATGCGGCGCCACCACCGCAACCACCAGCGCGGTCTATTATCATCTCTCACTGCCTTCACATTTCTCTTCTTTTTACTAACTCCACTGGGTGAGCTCCTCTTCACACTTTACAATCACAATCACACTCACACAACATTAATGCTTGTCATTAGAGGCTTGGTGTTACGTTTCATTCATCTGCAGGTTGTGGGTTACTGGAGAGAGGTTCAGACTCAGAGTCGTTGGAGGGAGGTGTGCAGGCGCAGAAGCGACTCAGTGGTCCAGGTTCTTCACCACCCACGTGTAGATCCAAGTGTGGAAATTGTTCTCCTTGTAAACCGGTTCACGTGCCTATTCAGCCTGGTATGAGTATGCCATTAGAGTACTACCCTGAAGCTTGGCGTTGCAAGTGTGGCAACAAGCTCTTCATGCCCTAAAAGACAAGACATAATTAAAAACACAGACTTCTTTTCATAAATATATAGTATTAATGTTATTTAACTCTTTTAATTGTAACTTGCATTAATGGGTTGTTCTTTCCATGTTTATAATATTAGAGTATTATTATGACGAATTGACGATGATTTTGCCTTCTCTGTGAGGACACAGGGAACGTTGGGAATGTAAGTCACTTGAAAGTTAGATTACCAAGAGGGATCTCTCTCTACTCCAATATCTTTCTCTCTTTTTTCTTTCTTTTTTACTTGCAGTAACGCAAGTTTGTTAATTAAGAGACAGATTGCCAGATTGGAACAAAAAGGCTGTAATTAAGATGTGCCCTTTCTATTAAAAACACAAGTTATTATAACTTGTTTTATATTTATATATATATTTTTTTTTCCTGGTGCTTTCTCTTTTCTCCCATCTCTGGCTCTGTTAAATTCTGCTCACACTCTAGTAATAGCTCTATACTTTTAAGCAAAAGGTCAGGGATATATATATATATATATTCATGGAGCACGTACACAGATTCTGCTATAAGAGTACCCAAATTTGTAATCTTAATGTTTCAGGCTCAGGGTTTGGTTAATTTATGTAGTACTGGTACAAGCATTGATTATCAATGCCTTATTTTTTCCTCTCTGTCTTTCCCTCCATAGTCTAATTCTAGTAAGTAATGAACAGTGGAGAGTCGCAGTTGCAGATAGGGAAAATGGCCTAATGGGTTGTTTGTCTTCAACAATGGCAATTGTGCATGTGAAATAGAAACGACTGAGGGGAACACGAAAGCAGAAACGAGAGGACACTTGTTTTGTTTGCTTTCATTTCATGTGTATATGCAACTGGATTGTCTGGGATATTATTCGATGATTTTTATTTCGCCAGTTTAATTATATGATCCATTCTTCTTTTTCTGTTGAGAGATACGACATCAAGCAGTGAATATATTTGTATACGGATCCTGCTTTTTTCTCTCCGTATATATTGTATGTATCCATTTCTAGTTTCCAAGGTTACCCTCACTGATTCAATGAAATTACACAACGCAATGTGGGGACGTGATAGATGTCGGGATTAAGGAATCATTATTAGTTTTGTCTTTGTTTGTGATTAGATTAATGAAGTTAATTAAACTAATGTACTTGTGATTAGATGTAGTAGATTTCCGAGAGGTGGTCTCGTTTTGTGTAATAACTTGGCGCAAAAAGGGGTGTAATGTAACTGCAAAACCATGCTGCAGGGGCAAAAAAGGAATCTTCATTGGCATGTGGAATGTTCGTTTCTGGGTTACAATTTGATTTCCAATGTAGTTTGAAATTAAATAATTCATATTTCTTTTAAATAAATATTTTCTGGAATAAAATTGGGTGTAAAATAAAAACTAAAAAGACCCCACAACCACACCTACATTATTGTTGTTTTTGAAGCACGAGAATAGCTGTTGTTTGCAGTGTTGCTTCTTGATTATTGAGATTCCATTTCCCATATCATATAAGTACGAAAAACTTACCATTTCGATAAATATTGTCGAATCATAATACTACTATCCTTTTTCTTTTCCTTTTTCTTTTTTTATATTTTATTTTAATAAATGAATAACTTTATAAGTCTCATACACAATACAGTAAAATCACTTTACGGTAATACTTTATATAAGAATAAACTCTATATAGTTATAAAAAAAAAAAATTTTAATTTAGGATAGTTATAAATAAGAATAAACTTCATATTGTGATAAGTTATAATTTTTTTAATTCCTGTCTTAAGAAAAATTACCTCCACATAGTAATAATTATCTGTATATTAAAAAAAAAAAATTTGCTACCTTACATTAAAGGTTTGAGATGAAATAAAATATTTATCTAAAGTTGTTTGGATGAATTATTTATATTTTAGAGTTGTTACCACATCTCTTAACTTGCGAGTGCATTAACCGCTAGCATGAACATCTTCTTGTTGAAACCAAAATATTTCTAACTTCTCAAGCATGTTTAGACCTTATTGGCATGAAACCTTTTGTATTTCCCTACTATCATTTTCATGATTATTTCCTTTCTTTTATTATCTAATTGTAACAATGATTTCTTCTTCAGTTAAAGTATACATAACTTGTTACTCATTTGGATAATTGAGAAAGACATTAATATCTATTCGATTAGTGTTGTGAAGTTGTCAAATCTGATCACTCCATTCTATTATGATTCTTTAATTCTCCTTATCCACTTTATTTGTAACTTGCAATTAATCGACATCAGAGGTTCTAATTTTGTAATGCTTAAAAAAATTGACAATTGTCTATGACTTCACATTAATTTGACCATGCAGCAATTGCATTTACAATTCTATCAAGAACACTTATCTTTATTGGTTCCAAGAAACAATCTTCTATCTGTTTCTAAAGTAAGCAATTGAAGTGTTGAATTAAAATCCTAATAGTGTACTACAAAAACATAAATTATAAAATAAGAAATTTTTGCAACTACACCTCTATTAAGTTATAACTTCTTTATAGTAATAAAATTAGTTAGTCCCACCATTATGACTATAGAGAGGTTTTACTGTATATATATATATAATAAATACACAATTTTTTCAACCTAAATTATATACGACACTGATTTTGTAATTAAATGTTGCCCAATGTGTAACGTTATATTAATTACTTAAATTGCAAAATATGAAGCATGATTATTAGTATTCTACGATACACGATAAGTATTATACGATATGATTCGATATGGGTCGATAACGATACGTATCAGAGAGTGTATCATAAATCTTTCGATACGCTAATATGTATACTACGACACCACATGTATCGGTTCGTATCTTTAAAAATATCGATACGACTTTATTAATTTCAGTCCAAAATTTTTTTTGGTTCGGACTGAAATAGATCATGTCGGATCCGAGTCACCCAATTCGGTTACTAAAACCCGCTCAAATTTATCCATTTTGCATGGAGAAAGTGAAGAGGAATATCTATTGCCCATTTTGCATGATAATAATTACACAAGTGGAGATATAATTATTAACATTAATCTTAGAAATGATATGAATGGTTGAGAAGAAATGATATAGATGCCTAATTTTGTGATTAATTTTGATTATCTAATATCATAATTTAAAGCCAATAATATCATAAAATTTGTTAATTAATCTTGGGGATGATACTAATTTAAAAAAAAAATTATTATTTTTTTAAAAAGACGCATCGTACGATATAGTACGATACAATATGCGATACACGATTCAAAAAATTAGGTTTTTGATACACAATATGATACATGATTTGTCAACCATGATATGAAGTACAATTTTTGGATGTATATTTTAGTTAAAACCATCATTATCTCAATCCTAGTCAACACAAATAAATACTATCTCTAACCTCTCTTAAGGTTTACAGAAATAACAAGAAGTCCCCAAAGGTTTTTGTGGGGTAACCAGAGTGTCCGGGTCAGTTTACGCACACCTCAATTAATCTTTAGAATCCCTTGAACACCCTACAAGCAATGTTCCAAAAACCGGACCGAACTATGACTCGTTCAAGGGTCCGGTTTTCGGTTTAACCGGTTGGATCGGTAGGTTGGACTGTATTCTATAAAAAAATTTTAGTCCGTAAATGTTTGAAATTCATAAAAAACACCCCTATAATACTCCCTTAAGATTTGAAATCTATCTAAAACACCCCTATCGTGCGAAGAGACTGGTGATGGTGGCGGCAACGACGATCGACGGTCAATCAAAGCTTAGAATCATAGGGCTTTTGATGTATAGGTGCAGGCGAATCTGATGGTGGTACTAGGGAGTTCCATCGGCACCAAAACTCGTCGGAATCAAGAAAAAGTCCAACGGTTGCGTGAACTTTAGGTGGATAGCGAGCGACGAAGGCTGGACGATGACTACTGAAAATGACTCGGTTTTGTCGTGGAGATGCCGTCAAGTCAAATGGTGGTGTTTTCTCCATCGAACGATGTCGAAATCTGTCGGGATTGAGTTGCGATTGGACCGCAATTCAACACTATTTCGACGGTCCAACTGCGGCATAATCCGATTTGATTGAAAATAACGGTTTTTAGAGGATAACGGATTGGATATGCCGCCGGCTATCGATCGAACCAGTCCGATCGGACGGTCTGATATGGTTTTCAGAACATTGTCTACAAGTACAAAGGATCAAGTAAGTCACAATGTGGTAGGTGACCTCAAGGTTTGAACCCAAAAACTCAGTGAAGGGAGCAAACCTTCTTAACTGTCAAGTCAATCTCTTGGGGTTTTTGACACTTATTTTCTTTAATTGTATTAGATAATTTATCATACCTTACAAATCTTATTGACGTTTTTATAACATCGGGAAATAAGAAGAAATAAGAGTGTCACAATAATTCTGATACGCTCGAAAAGCACTTAAGAGTTAAGACGACAACATACGAAATAGCAAAAGTGCTTCCATAAGAAGTGCTTAAAATGGAAGTATTTATGAAAAAGTACTTCGCAGTATGTTCTTAAAATTATATATATTTTTACCCATTTAAGTCAAATACTATAAAATGTGTGAAAAATAAGTACTTCCATTTACAAATACAGCCTTAAATTGCAAGAAATAAATAAATAAATTATTGACAAATTATACTCCTTTTCGAAATTGCTTTCATCTGCAACTCTGTAGTGGCAGAGCATAGTCCCAAATCCAGAGAAAAAAGAAAAGAGTAAAAAAAAAAAAAACAAAAACAGGAGTAGACTGTACACACGAAGGAATGGTGAATTTTTATCGTCTTTACATTTGACGTTGAACTCTGGGTTCTGTCGTTCTGATAGTTTGCACGTGCAAATGTTCAATATTACAAGAGGAAAGTAAAAAAAAAAAACAAAAAAAGTAACTGTAAAAAAGAAAAGGCTTCACAAAAATACTTTAAAAAGGGCCCCCACTTTGTCTTTAAAATCAAAGAGGGCGGACGATATTATAAGAAAACAGGAACCCCAATGCCCAATTCCCATATGGTGTCTTCTTCAAGTGTCTCTTCAAAATCAGAGCAGACCCACCTGACAGCTGACATATATAATTTTTTCATTACAGAATTTGAATAATGGATGAAATTGATGAGTAATAATTTATTTCTGGATTGGGTGAGGCAGGGTGACAAGAGGGTAGAAAGGGGTTGGGTGTGGTGGCTCCAAGATGAACTCAAATGTGAAAGGTGGTGATGTTGCGGGGTGTGGTGCCGTCAGGTTTTGCCCATCCACTAACTTTGGTCTTTAGGTTTGGGGAAGAGAGAAAGATTGAAGTGATATTGGATTTGACAGTGGTGGTGGCAGTTGTAGGTTATATAGACTTTATGTAAAGCCTCTCTTCCCTCTTTCCTTTCGATCAAGCTTTTTGGGATTGGGAGTGCTTATGTCAAATCTTTCACTTCATTATTTCATCTCTATTCCTAAGGTATATGTCTATATGTATGCTCAATTGCTCATCATCTATTATCAATATTTCTACAGCAATACTGCAGTTATAAAAAAAAGTATACCAAATTCATGCACTCAACACGTGTGACGCCATCTTATTTTTTTTAAACAAAATTTATAATTAATTAACGGAGATGATGGTGTCATGTTTATCCATGTATAAATTCAAACTGCATTATTTCTAATATTTTTAACAAGTTTTCAACAAATATGGTAATTTTCAGTGTTTTAAAACCTAATCTGACCCAATCGATTGAACCAGTTCAATCAAAACCCGAGGCTTTTATTGGGTTAGATTATCCATTTTACTATTTATCGAAAACCCTAAAAATTATGATGATTATCGATAAATAATTAAAAATCGAAATATTAGAGCTTTTGAAGAGAAAGTGTCGATGAGTGCAATGGTGGTAATAAAGTTGATTTCGATGAGTGAGTCAACTAAAAATCGAAAAAAAGGGTGGTAGCAACAATCGACTTTTGCCAACCATTAGCAAGGCCCTGGAGGGACTTAATTGTAATTTTTAGTGGTTTATTTATTGAATTTTAAATTTTTTGTCACTCAGTTTGATCAAGGTTGATCAAACTAGTTAAACCAGTCAAGCTGAGACCCAACAACTTAGCTAGTTTCACCCTGGGTTGGTTATTAAACATTGATAATTTCTAATATTTGTATTTGATTAAATCTCAACTATTAAAAGTTTTTTTTTTTTCTAATAATATAATAAATTCGTATTAGATTTTAAAGGGTCACCGATATTGGTACATTATGGTGTGATGTATGCTATCAGTATCATAATAGCATAGATTCAAACGAAAACAGTCCATGACATGACCCAACTTTCTATGGGGACAAAAATCCACAATCCTTTAAAATCATGTTTCAACCTATAGAGAAGTACAAAATTTTAGCCCATGGTTGGCAAAATTTGAATCTCTTCAAACAAGTTTATCAATGTGATAATTTAAAGCCATCCAATTGTAATCTACAGGATTTAGATAAATTTTTTGTGAATATCAGGAATCGAAGGAATAATTTTGTATAGTTTTGTTTTAATAATACATCTGGAAAGTGATTATTCCTAGCTATTTGAATTAATCCGATTGAAAATCCAAAGAGAAAGTCGCTTCCTATTTGATCACTTCAATTTAAACCGAATATCATGAAATAACAACAAACTAAAAGTATATTCAAATAAGACCTAACAGCTAGAGAAATCTCAAGTTTCCAAATTTACCAAGTTGGTAATGCTAGTTTACCAGCATAACTCTGTTCTCATGATATTCACAACAATGTTGACTGTGATTAGTTTCTTGTTAAACGATCAGGGAGATATGGCATCAACTGTCATCCATTTTTTCAACATCTCCTATTTCTTCACCGTCTGATGTCCCTTTTTGATCCTCACCAACCTGATCCCCTTCTGCAGTTCCTTGTTCATTTTCATTAGCCCCTTCTGCAGGTCCTTCATTCTCATTAGTCCCTTCTGCAGTTCCTTGTTCGTTCTCATTAGTCCCTTCTTCAATGATTGTTTGGTTTGGATGAGGTGGGAGCAATGTTACAGCCAGGTCTACTAACTCTTCTAGTTGCTCTTCATCAAAACGAGTGTCGGATTGCTCTATAACCTGCAAAATGTGAAACAAAATTAAAATAATTTATAGCATAAAATGCATTTGTTTGACAAAACACAAGGCTATGAATGTGAAAGAAGATATAAGCTGTCTCAGAATAGTAACAAAAAGGGTCTTCCTAAAGGCATCCTTGGTCATTACAAACAAACATCAAAATACAAAACCTTTGCCTAGACTGATATGACAACAATTATAAAGTTTAAAAATTCTAATTTCTACAGAAATGATCAAAAACTACATGAAACATGAAACATCCTTCTGTTGTCAATGATGCACACAAATCCTTGCTCTCTAGCATGAAGATAATAAATTAAAAAGAAAAACGCTGAGAGATAGATATACTCTATATCCAAAAGCTACAGTGTGTCGTTATCAATAAGAGGAAGCAGTAAGACAAATTATGCTGAAATGCGAACTTTATTAGTTTACCAACAGAATAGGAGTTAATACAGAAAGAAAATAAATATTACCGAGTCTATTTCAACTAAAGAGGAAGGCCGAATGTTGATAATATTCAGCATCTCAGCTTTTGCAAGTTTGAATTTTTTACACTTCTCAAAAAATTCATTGACACTCTCTCTTGTTTGATTGCAAGCACCACTCTCCACCAAATAATCATAAACCTATAGCAAAAGCAAGAAAATAAGCCATTAATGCATGCTAATGATAAATAATATTGATTAAAAAAATGAGAACCAGTATAATCAGTAAGAAAAATCAACCACCTTGAACTCAGATTGTGCCACTGGAACAAGAACTCGTGTCGGATCCTTCGAAGCACCCCTGGATCGTAGAAAATCAAGCACTTCAAAATTTGTAAGTGCACCGGCATTGCCTTCCAATCTGCAAAACGCTCAAAACAGTTTAACTAGATGATATATATATATATATATTAGGAACAAATTTATTGATCTGAGCCAAAATAAATAAAAGGAAGAAACAAAATGTAATTATAGAGACTCCATTCATTTACACAATGGAGCTCACTAGCTAAAACTAAAGGCAACAGTAACTAAAGAACGACCGGATAAGATTACAAGTGCTTACATCTTCATTCTCTTGAAAAAGACAGCGTTAAATTAACCCCAATTACTATGCTCCTTCAGTCTATACAAACGGTTGTCAAATGACTTGCTCTGTCGTTAACATGGAAAACAAAGTTTCAGTGTAGAATTTCATCGAGCATGTGCATTGCATTTAACTAAATGAAAAGTTCTGGATCATATCAATGCTTATATGTGAATAGAGTCGTAGACATTATCATGAAAGAACTGCTAATACTAACAAATATATTAAAAACACTGCAGGTAAAGAGAGATATGCAACCAAAAAAAAAAAAAATCACATACACAGAGAAAAACTCCCAAAATAAGGTTGAAGCAAATCCGAGTAGATATGTTGTGGTTCTTCAAAACGAACGCGGGTGAGTCCGGATCACCGCCAGCAGCAGATGGTATTATTCTTAGGAGACCCAAGTATTTGTGAATTTCCCGCGAATTTCAAATGATTCAAGTGTTGAAGGGATTACTGGAGATTCGGAAGATCGGCAGTGAAGTGGCTTTGGGGCTTCGGCGAATAGGGAAATAAATAATTAAATAGAGGCATCGTAGTCAGATAAGATTGGTGATGTTTGTAATTAGGGGAATCAACAAGAATTTGTACTAAAATTGGAATACGTCCATGAAATTTTTTGAATGGTAATTGAAAGGCCTTGTAAATCATGGATGTGAGGAGGTAACTAGAAATTCTATTGACTATTAATGTTAAATGAGCTAGTGAATATAATCTTATACACCCAAGGGTTTGGCCTCGAGATTAAGAAGATTTATTCTCTTTATTAAATTCCTAGGTTTAAGCTATCTTGGGGTCATCTACAACATTTGTGCTTACATTGAGCTTGAAGGGTGTTCAAATTGGTCTCAAAAATTAATTAAGATACATGCAAACTAGTCTAGACACCCCAGTGTATATATATATATATGATTTCGATTTGCATCGGTTGTTCAGAGACCATGCCAAAATCAAGTGATCAAGATTCACCCATGTGTCACCCAATCAGTGGATAGCTTAACCAATGAGTTTATTAGTCTCTAAGTATGGTTGTTATGACTTAAGGATTAGAGAAAACTTACTCATATTTGAATTACGAGGGATTAAGCGTGTAATTCACCCTGTAATCTACCGACTCTCAATCATTGTCAAAATGCTTTTATAAAAGGGGGATGCCACCTCCAATTGCAGGATCCCCATAGAGACAAAAAAGGGCAGCCCCTTGATACAAAGAATGAAAGAAAGTATGCTTAATGAAGTATTATCAACTTGCTGAAGCATTATCTCCTCTGTAATATTTCTCTTGTAATCACCTCATTCACAACTCAAAACAATAATATAACAGTAGATGTAAGCTTAGTCTTAACCTGCCAAACTACTTTAAAAATTTTATTACGTGGTTATTATTTGGTTTATTATTATTTACTTGTGGTTTTAATTAAACACACGCACATTTATCCAATCTCACCGTGGTCGAGTGGGTATTTCTAATTATTGCAGATTTTTGTAATAACAATATATATAATATATATATATATATATATAATATATATTATATATATATTATATAATATAGATAGAAGAGAGAGGAGGAGTCGTGTGGTGGTGAGGGGGAGTGGGTGGGCGGAGAGACGGGGGAGAATGACGGAGGGTGAGAGGAGAGAACGATGAAGCGCTGCGTTTGTGTTGTTTCTACGTCTTGGAGGATGGTGTCTGAGAGAGAGAGAGAGAGAGAGAGAGAGAGTAAACTTTCCTATAATGATACTCTATATAGGAATAATCCCCATATAGTCATAAAAAATTCCGATCCCAACTTGGGCCAATTATAAATAAGAATAATTTCACATTTTAATAAGTTATAATTTCTCTAGGTCCCGTCTTAAGGTTCTTGCCTCTACATAGTAATAATTATATGTTTATAGCAAAAAATATATGTTATTTTACATTAAAGATTTAAGATAAAATAAAATATTTATCTAAAGTTGTTTAAGACAATTATTTATGCTTCAGAATTGTTATTATATCTTTTATCTTGCGAATAAGTAATACGTCGCCAACATGGACACCTTTTTGTTGAAGCCAAAATATTTATAGCTTCTCAAGCATGTCTAGAGCTTCTTGGCATGCAACTTTTAGTATTTTCGTACTATCATCCTTCGGATTATCTCCTCCCTCTTCTTATAAAATTTCAGTAATAATTTATTCTTCAGTTAAAGTATACACAACTTGTTGCTCATTTTGGATAACTGAGGAAGACATTAATATCCATTTGATTAGTGTAATGAAGTTGTCGAATTTTATCACTCAAATCTGCAATGACTCATTGATTCTCATAATCCACTTCATTTGTAACTTGCAATTCATCAACATCAGGAGTCCTAATTTTGCAGTGCTTAAAACAATTGGCAATTGTCATTGGCTATGCATCAATTGACCATGCAACAACTGTATTTACAATTTTATCAAGGCCATTTATCTTTTATGGTTCCAAAACACGATCTTCTATCCGTTTCAAGAATAGGCAATTAAAGTGCTGACAATAATTACCTTTGAAATTTCTAATGATGCCTACATCACATGGTTGGATTTTTGAAGTGCTAGCTCGTGGTAGGAACAAAAAAATAAAAAATAAAATCCTAATGCTACTAAAACAATTGATTGAAATCCTAATACTATTAAAACATGAATTATAAAATAAGAAATCAATAAGAAATCAAGTAATATTCCTACATCATGAAAAAATAAATAAGAAATCATAATACTACTAAAACATAAATTATAAAATAAGAAATCAAAACAATAATTATTATAACTACATATCTATTAAGTTATAATCTCTCCACAATAATAAATTTATTTAATCCCAACAGTATGACTGTATAGAGGTTTTACCTGTATATTTGACGTTGTCAACATATTAAAAGAGTTTTAGAAAAATAGAGAATTATATATATATATTTTTTTGGTAACTAGGATGGTTGGACTAGCTTGTGCGTACTTCAACTAATCTTGGGGGTCTACTGAACACCCTGCAAGCCTAAATGACCAAATAACAATGTTATTGTGGTAGATGACCACAATGTTTGAACTCAAGAAATGAAGCAAACCTCCTTAACTGTTAGGCCGACAGCTTGGGGTTTAGAGAATTATATTTTACTGTCACACTTATTTGTATTCTGTTTGCTAGAACTCTCTCATGCCCATCCTTACCATGTTAGTACTTCACTGGTTCACTTATAATTTTAACTTTTAGGAGGCGTTTGGTTCATATAATGTTTTATTATAGAGGTATATTATATTTTAACAGAAAGAAAGACCACCTTAAATATTACAGGGAATATTTAGGAATTTTGTTTGGTTGGTTCGAATAAATTGATGAATAATATGTTTGGTTAGGAGGATAAATGGGTGAGTATGTTATATAGATTACTAAATTGCCCTCCTTTTTAAATATTAATATAATAGTATTTATTATTATTATTTTTTGAATCATTTTTTTTAACCCCCTACATTTGAAATTTTGCTAAAACATCTCAGTCATATAAAACTTTAATTTGGAGCAAAATCGCCTCTACCCACTCCAACCCACTCCCCATAGCCAGGCACCATCGCCAGCAGTCAATGGAATGACGTACGACTAGTCGTATATGAGCGACCTTGCGCCGACAAAGCCGGAAATGGCCATGGATCACAAATCCATGGTCGAAAAAAGGAGATCCATGGCTGGAAAAGGCCTTACCGATGCACGACCAACCAAATCCCCCAGATCGTGCATCATTATAGCCGCGACTGGCAGTGGTGAGTCACGGCTGGCAGTGATCTTCGGTGGCTGGGGGTATTTTGTTAACTTTTAAACTTTTTTATAGCTAGGGTGTTTTAGCTAATTTCTCAAATGTACGGTGGCTGAGTATTGCTATTCGGTAGACATTTGAGGACAGTTGTGCCAGAAATGATTTTTAATTAAGGGCAAAATAGGTGGAAAAATCAGATTACCTCAGTAATGTTTTAATAACACCCCTTAATAAGGTAATAAGATTACTCCCTATATTACCAATAACAAACACTATTTGCACTAAAAGATTACCATAATATTTTATTAACTACAAATCAAACACCGAAATCTTGCAAAATAAATGAAGATTACCCTATTATCTTGTAGAGCAATACTAGTCTTACAAAGACAAAAACAAAGAGGGCATACAAAGACAATTATCACCCTTCATTTTTATGATTTCTCTCTCTTTCTCTTTTTCTCTTTTTTCGTTTTTTCCTTCTTATTAATGTCACTTTGTAACCCTCCTTGTATTATCTTTGTTAGGATAACATTTTTCTATCTTATATACCGCGATACAAACAGCCCCTCGTTGATTATTATTTTACTTTAATATTAATTAAACTAATTAAATATTTAAATAAAGTTTGGAAATTATTTAAAAAAAATTCATCACTATATCACTCTCAAAACTTGGAAGTAGATCAAAGGCAGCCTCCGTCCCTGTGAATGGTCCAAAGTTCAAAGATCTCCCATAAACCCTAGCAACGAAACAGGTACACTATGGCTGAAGCAGAGGAGATGTCATTGAAAGATAAAGGTAACGAGTTCTTCAAAGCAGGCAACTACCTCAAAGCAGCTGCTCTTTACACTCAGGCCATCAAACAAGACCCTTCTAATCCCACTCTTTACAGGTTTTTTTTTTTTTTTTTCGTTTTTTGCAGTTCCCTCTTGCATTTCTCCTTCAAGCTCTTTTCTATGGTTTTTCAGAAATGAATGTGAAATAGACTGTATAAAATATGTATGTAAGGCCAACATTTTATTCCTAAACCCTAATAGAATTTGACATTTCATTAAAACACGCAAAATTAAACTGTCTTCAAGGACAAAATAATCCTTATTTATGAGTACCACAGTGTGTGTGGCTTTGCCTTGTAATAATTGAATCAAACACTGCAACATGATTTTTCCTGGCAGCATCGATGCGAATATGAGCTGCCTATATTTACTTATTTGAAAGTTTGAGCGTTCTAAGGTTAGAATTTATTTTGCTTTATTATGGAATTGTGATTAATCAGCTTCGTTAGTTTCTTCATGTTGCATATTGACCTTAGTTGCCATGCTAAATGATATTATAGATGTTCTCAAATACCGAACGACATAACATTTAGGTAATAGCATGATGAAAAAATTATAATTTCAGAATTGCTTATTGAAAAGGAAAAAATACATATATTTTATATACGAAGTGCACTTTTTTGTTTAGAGAATTTTTTTATAAATTGAGAAATGAATCAAATCTGCCAGAAAATTAGTGGTGGAATGACTTAACTGTTTGTGTGGGTAAAATGGATCAATTATGTTTTGACTAAAAAGACTTAATTGTTTAACAAACTATTCAGTCTTCATTTTTTAATTGTTTAATAGATATGTTCATATCTAGATTTTTGGCATGATTCATCAATATATGGTTGAGTTTGAGTTAACAATTATATCTAAATATCTTAGTACAATGTTAATTTGAGCAATTCCCCCTTCATGGGTTGTTACATGTGTTATTTAAATTTATACTTGATGCTTGCACTGCTTTGGTTTGTCAATTAGAATCAACTGTTTATGCTTTTCATTTATTAAGTTCTTCATTAGTTTCACTTCAGCCACATAGTGCAGGATGTCTTATTGTTGAATTAATGCATCTCCT